GCAGCTTTGATCGGGTCAGAAGGATGGGAGGTTCTTGTTTGTTCTCCAGTGATCTGTCACCTGGCATTCGTGACACCTTCTTCTCTACCATTTGATACTTTATCTACCGCAAAATCTTGTTTATTTTAATTTTGGGCTGACCTGTGAGCCACACTTATCCCCCACTGGAGAGTCTGATAACTTCAATTCCTGCCCGGACTGTTGTGTGAGCGTTCTCACTTACCTCTCGTTTCCCATGTCCCTCCCATGTTCATCATTTGCCCCGGATCCAAGGCCATCCCATAGAGACAGAAGTCATGCTGTTGCTCAAACATTCTTCTGTGGCTCCCTGTTCCTCCTATGATAAAGTCCAAAATTTTAATCAACGCTCTAATACCTTAGCTATTAGTTTAGGTAGTTCCTGCCTGTACCTTCTGCCTTTTCCCCTGATTTCCTTACCTCCAGTCTCTAGTGGTAACCTTCTTATAGCTTATTAACTACCTAATATTTTACATCTTTTATATTTTTGAATATCAAAAGAAACTAAACTTTGTTAAGTAAATGGAAAGCGACACTGGTGGAATCCTCTGATTTTTTTTTTTCTCTTCAAAGACTGTTCTTCCACAAGCACCTTCAAAGCAAAACTATTAATAACCTGGGCATGGAAAAAGAGTATTATCGAACTGGGTATTCTGTTCACTATTTGTTAAAATTAGATTTTACATAGATCCTGGCACTTTATAATTTTCAAAGCGAGTTCCCATTCTTTCTCTCCCCCCACCCCCTCCCCAGAACACCTCTGTGAAGTAGGGAAAACTGGATTATTATTATTTATTTCATTTAGATGAAGAAATGGCAGCTGGAAGGAGGAGACAACTGAAGCTTATTCTGTTCCCTGTGGCCGTGAGAAGCACGTAAGGATCTGTCAGGCTTGTGTACGCATAGCCGGTATTTCCCTGTGACAGGGACACACTGAAGATAAATCTTCCAGATTTCTGGAACCATTTCTCAATATTAAGTTTTATTCCCAGCTCTTTTTGGGACCTGACATATAGCTTTATTCCTTATGTTTCTCTTTGTACCTTTTTTGATTACAGACACAACTGACCTTTGTTTTTCTGTTTGTTATTTATCTTTCAGTGTCATATTGAACTTCATAATTTCTGTGACAGCAAATCTACAGATAGTTTTCTTTTATGATTTTTGTTTTTAAGTCTGTGTTTAGAAACCCTTTTCTCTCTGATTCTATATAAACATTAATCTTTTGGTTACTTTCTTTGGCTTTTTTGGAAAAACAAAACAAAACAAAACCACTGACATCTTTAACAGAGCTGGTAAACTATGATTCATTATTTGCTTTTGTTAGCAGAATTTTATGGAGGCACAGCGCTGCCTCTTTGTGTAGGGACTGTGATGGCTGCTTTGTACTGGAGCAGTAGAATTGTGCAGTTACAACACAGGCAACCTGGCCTACGGGCCCAGTACCCTTGGCATCTGGCTTCTTAGAGGAAAAGGTTGCTGGCTGCATGTTTAATCCAGATTGAATTTCCTTTGATGCAGTTTATAACTCAGTTATCCATCTTTCCCCAATGGTTAGCCAATTTTCTCAACACTATTTAACAAGGCAATTTTAGTAGATCAAAATATGACTCTCAACTATGTTTACATCTTGGTCCTTAAAACCCATGACTATGACTTTATCCGTCACAGGCAACTTTGCAGAGTTGAGTGTGGCACACACCTCTCGTTCCAGCAGTTGGGAGCAGAGAACTAAACAAGTAATATAAGTCCTGGCCTGGGGAAGTCGCTGTGCATTAACTGTGCCAATCAGCTTGGATTCTGTATGCATTTCTTTATGAAGTTGTTTAGCTGCTGCATAGGTGACGGGGGTCGGACGGCCTTTCCTGACCAGGAATTATACGCATACCGTTTGTGAGTCATCGCTCTTCATAGACCTCCCTTAACCCAAGCTGGGTAGCCTCTTCCTTTCTACTACACCAATTGAAAAAAAAGCATAAAAAGTACAGTTTAAAAAGCTTAGTAATTTATAAGTATGCTTAAATGACAACAGGCTGTGCTTTTGACTTGTAATTTAATAAAATGTTTAACCACACTGGGCTTTCAACATTGACCTGTTAACCAACAAACTATTCATTTACTCACACTAATGACTTCTACTCATAATTGTCTTTCCTACAAATTATTGTTCAAGCATTTCAGTGTCATTTATCCATAATTGCATAGTTCCAGAGTACAGTTCTTACCAAATGGGCATAGAGAGAAAGAAAATCATCTTTGTGGGCTGACACACTCTCCAATCACTAACTGTCCTCTGTCTTGTTTACAGACTTAAATCTGTATTCCATGTGAATAACAGAATGGAAGAAGGGAGGGAGAATGAGGAAGAGAGACAGAGAGACAAAGATTGAGAGAAGGGCCACATCATTACAGTAATGAAGAAATAGAATCATATTTCCTTTGATAACAGAGTAGCAACGTAGAGATGCTCACAAGGGAACTGGAGGTGCTCTTCTCAGAAGCACACAGATTATCCCTCGCCTCGTGTTCACTCGTGGTTTCTCTATTAGCTGTAGAAAACAACGTGTGATCTCTTTTTTTCCTTTGCAGAGAAATGATCTCAAAACTTATTCAGATAGTTTGTCTATATTCTGGTGGCTCTGTGAACATTTGACAGGCTGTATGTAAGTTTATGTTAGTAGTTAAGCATGCACTTTAAAGATTCTTAAGATTCTCTGATTCGATTCATTCATTCCAACTTGACCATTATCTAGGAGAATGGTTAGTTGAGAAAAATCTTTGTTGTCTCCCCTTTGATTCTGCCACATGGCTTGCTTGTTGGTACATAGAAAATAGATGTTTGTGGTGTACTAACTCTCAATATTGTGCACAACTGGCCACAGACTTTGGTAGATGTTTTCTCTATGCTTGATAGAGCTTTTTCTATGCAGACAACCTAGAATGAGTGAGAGAAACTCACACTTATGACATTTACATACAAATACACTTTATTTCATTTTACAGTTCTCAAAGGTTAAAATACACAAACAAGGAATAAAATTAAAAATTATTTTCTTTGGGGATGATTTATGTCTTAATTTTCACCTACCCTATAATTAGAAATTTTGAACTCTGTAGATTTTTTTTTACAGATAAAATTATTGCCTGAGTAAACTTTGGAAATTATGTCATTAACCCTGAGACCTTTTTAAGTGTAGAACAACATGATTGGAGCAAGTGCATGCACACACACTCACACATACACAAACACAGTCAAATAAATAAAGAGGAAAGTTGAAAATAATTTGAAAATGATTTATTGTCGGCCACCTCTGTAGTTAGAGATTCAAGTATTACTAATTCACTTTGTGTGAGAAGGGAGGACAGTAACTCGCTGTGGGCTAGAGGTAAATGATGATCTATTGCAGAGGAGGGAGAAATGTTCTGAGGGCCGATGGGGGCCTTAGGAGGAAGCTGTGTGGTTTCTGAAGTAGTGCTTTACGTGCGCCTCTGAAAACTTTGCCTTGACTCTTGCGGGAAAAGTCCTGTGCAATCAGCGAGACAGGTGACCTTCTGAAATCCCAAGTAGCTAAGGACTAGCACGCTTGGATGTTGAAAGTCAATAGGTGGGCCAGAGCCTAATACAAATGAAGCGTTCTCCTTCTTTCAACTTTCCTTAAGTATTCTTTCTGGAGTTGGGCTCCGGTGGCTCAAGCTTGTGGACTATAGTTTCTCAGGAGGCTGAGATCTGAGAATTATGTTTCTAGCCCTGGGCAGAGAAGTCTGTAAGAATTTTATCTCCAGTTAACCAGCCAAAAGCCAGAAGTGGAGGTGTGGCTCAAGCGATAGAGTGCTAGCTTTCAATTAAAAAGAATCTAAGAAAGAGTACAAAGCTCTGAGTTCAAGCTAGTCCAGTACTGGCACACAAGGAAAAGAACTCTGTCCTGGACACTTTCAGTATTAGATGTGAAGGTCATTTAGTCTGTCAGGATCCAGGATGGCCATGGCCAGATGATTTCTTTCCATTCTGCTTACATTATCTTGTGACATGGGTTGAATTCTTTATGTAGGGATTTGTTATGGCGGCCTATTCAGAACCTAACCACCATGCTTTTTTTTTTTTTTTTTTAATTTGGAATTAGAAGTGGCAAAATCTTCTTTTCAGAACACAGTGTAGCACAGGGACAGAAGAAAACAAATAGCTACCAAGGGCTGGTGTTGTTGCGGCAAGTTTCATGGTAGATACGTGATAGGTATTATCTCACTGAAGCCTGATGTTGGAAGAGCACACTTCTGTTTGGAAGGGAGGAGGCTGGGGCAGGGGCCTGACTCAGAGCAGCTGCTCCCCAGAGCAACCTGGGTGGAATATGGCGATGGGCTGCGAATCCAGGGCAGATTCAGCCTGATAATTTCTGCCTGTCACATGTTACCATTCTATCCTGGACTCCTTTTATTGCTACCTTTTATAGATGAGAAAAGTAATACCCAGATATCCTCTCTCCTCAATAAAGCCCCAAACTGATATCCAAAAATTAGTGTGTATTGATCCGAGGCTTTCACTTCGTGTTCTTTCATGGAATTTTCTGCCTGGATGGACCACATATTATTAACTGATGATAAAGGGGAGGTGAATGAAGGATAAAAAATTTGATCAAGGGCTGGGCAGGTGGCTCAGTGGTAGAGCGCTTGCCTTGTAAGCCGGAGGCCCTGGGTTCGATTCCTCAGCACCACATAAGCAAAAAGAAAAAAGCCGGAAGTGGCGCTGTGGCTTGAGTGGTAGAGCGCTAGCCTTGAGCTGAAGAGCTGAGGGACAGCGCCCAGGCCCAGAGTTCAAGCCCCACGACCGGACCAAAAAAAAAAAAAAAATTTGACCAAAGTGCATATATGCATGTAAGGAAAGACTGCAATGAAACCCCTTTATGCACTCAACATACGTTTAAAAGTAAACTCATGAATTTATTAAAAAAAAACAACCCAAGCAGGTTCTTTCTTGGCTGCGTTAGGTGCGCTCCCGGAAGTCACGGTTACCTGTCTTCGAGCCGCTGCCCGTGCCCAGGACACCATGCTGGCGCTAGAGGACGCCGTGGCCTGGCGTCGTGGGGATGAGGTTGCGATCATCAGTGGAGCAGGCGGGGAAGGTGCCCAGCCTGTGGAAGAGACGGTCACCGTGGAAGCTGTGCACGGTGCCGACCTCCATCTAAGGGCTCCCTTGAGGTACGGGCTCTCAGCTGACGGGGTCCGGAAGGAAGATCAGGTCTTGCCCTGTGTTCGCGTCCTGATGTTGGCCTTTGGATGATATCTCCTACACGAACTAGTGCCAGACATTGCAACAAGGAAAGAAAACCTATGAGATGTTTGGAAGATTTAGACTAATTACATTTTTTTATAGAACCCTCATAGTTCTGCCTTATAGAAAATGGTCAGTCAACACCGTAACAGCACAGTTCCTAATTGTTAAAAAAATGCATAGGTCTCGATAGGAAATGCACTCATTACCTTGCTCATGTAACCATAACCCCTCTGAACAGTGTCTTTACAATAAAAACACATATTAAAAATGCATAGGTGGCGTGACATTGAGGAAGGTGCTGTGTCATATACTCACACGTGGAATAGTAGAATAGTGACTCCTTATCTATCTCATAGATAATGAAATTACGATAATTAAAAAATGTATAGGTGAAAAGGTCACATTTTTGGCATTCGAGTTCTAAAGAAACAGACCCCACGTGATCGAGTCATGTAGTATTCCCATTATGGCTTGGCGGGATGGCATCAGGTGCGTTTTCCTCTCTTTCTCTAGATATTCTCACAACGTTACTGAGCATTGGGTGGCTGGAGAGCGCCTTGCGTTAAAGGCTGTGGTGGTTCTGCTCAGCAGGAAGATTTCCATCCGCGGAAATCTCACCAGTGAGAGAGTGGAGCTCCTTACCTCATGCCAAGAGTCCAGCGCTTCTGAAGGTAGAGCTGTGTTTGGTTGGAAAGTCCAAGAGAACGCATTGCTCACTGCCCAGGGCAAGCCCCTGGCAGACCTCTTTTAATATGGAAAAGCCCTTAATGCTTGGATGTCCAGAATGCTCTGTAATTTTCAGAATGCTCGTGGTCAATTGACATTTCATTCTCTCCTTCACTTGCAAGAACCTTGTATAAGAGAAAAGACAAAAAGACCAGAAGAAATGGTAAATGAGTGGTTTTGCTGAAAAGGGAGAAAGATCCTGTTAAAATAAACACAGAGAGTTGAATTACAGCTACAGGTTAGATGTTATAATGAAGTTTAACTTGGATTCTGTGCCCTTAGAGTCTCAAGGAAACCAAGGTCATAGGCTCAAGCAGCCCATTCTTACTGATTAGACTTGTGCCCCTCTTCCCCTTTTGTGTTTTGTTTTCTGAGTGAACTACCATATTCTCCAGGTAAGTAGGGTGTGTGTGGGAGTGTCAATTTATCTTCTTGTAGGATAGCTGGCACTGAATCACACTGACGTGCCTATTAAACATCTATTTCAGGGATGGTTAGTTTAGTAGGTTATGTTTTGGTTTCTCAGGCTGTAGATTATGAGCCTTTCACATGGTGTGAAGATATCATTTGTCAACTTTGGTCCAGGATGGTGTGGGTGTCAAGGATGACTTCCAGGCACGAGCTCTGGATGGATGATGACACTATTTACTGAGATGGAAAAAGGAACAGGTTTGGGGGGTGGTGATCACGAGTCTAATTTTCTCCACATCACCACCGAGGTAACAGGCCAGAGTCCGAGTCCAGGTATGTGGCACTGTCTGCACTCTGGGAGAAATGTCAGAGTTAAGTATTTGGGCAGAAGGTGTGTGTCTGTGTGGGCTGGTGTGGTGTGGTTGGGAGTTGTTAGTAGTACAGAAATATCTCTGCCTCGGTCTCTTCCACCCAAGTCATCCATTACAGACGTAGAAGATGTTTGGATGATAGTGGGTTAGAATCCACCGACAACTTTTAACAATTCTGCAGAATTGGGATTCTTGCTCTGCTCAGATTCTCTTGGTAATTCTCCTACAGGTTTTCTCCACTCACATTTTTCACTAGGTTGAATTCAGTCATGCTGCCAGTAGACCATACTTCAGATCTGTTCGTTGCTGATGGGAAACATCTCTGATCTCATCATCAATTATAATGTAACTGCCATGATCTCAGACCACATCACTCAGTATAGGTAGTGGGGAGGGATGGGGAGGGGTTCCAGTGTGAGAATAAGTTCACTAACTCCAAAATATAAAGCCTGGACACCTACAAATGTGTTAGACTCTCTCTCTCTCTCTCTCTCTCTCTCTCTCTCTCTCTCTCTCTCTCTCTCACACACACACACACACACACACACAATAAAGCAGCATACAAATATACAACAGCTCTTCATTCTCTGAGTTGCAAAGGAATAGACTCTGAGTACTAGTAATGACATAACGTTGGGTGTTTTTGCTACTGGCTGGCTTCATGAACATGGATCATGATGATTCGATTCAGGAGAGAATTTTCTTTTCATCCTGAGGTTACCTCACACCAGGCAGTGTCAGGTGTTCACAGAGGTGTTCTGGTCCACGGCCCCCACATCGCAGCAGTAGGGTTCAGCTGTGTTGGGTGCAGTAGACTCTTATCTTCACCAGGGGGCCATTGAGGAAGGAGAGGCGCAGGGGCATCGATTTCTTCTCTGGAGCCCTCAGTTTGCCAGGATGAAGCTCTGCCCTACTGGACGGCTTAAAACCAAACGAGTCGGTGGGAATATTCAGGGTTCATATGTCTTCCCTTCAAAGGCCGACTCTGAGAAGATAACTTAGCCATGTATTCCCCTCCTGAGAATCTCTTGGATTGATACAGAATCCATTGAAGATGTGTCTGTGGGTTAACCTGCCGTGTTGTGTCAACAATGAAGGTCCTAGGGGCAGGGTTCTGGAAATAATAAAGGCAGCACCCTGTCCTCGTTACGATCGCTGTCCTCATCGGTAATCCACAGGGAGGAATCAATGTAAAAGTAAGATTGAGGAATGAAATAAATGTTCATGGTTTCTCTTTTGGGCCACTAGAGCCTTTCAAACAGAAAGATTTGTCTAGGAGCCTGAGGTCCACTGGACTTCATTCTGTGTTTCAGACGACCTGAAGCATTGCTTGTACTCCAAGAGCGAGAAGATGTTAGGATCCAGGGATCTGGGGGCCAGAGTCATCGTCCAGTCCTCCCCTGACGAGCCCAGTCTGGTGCAGATGAGAGGAGTACAGCTGCGAGACCTGGGGCAGGGCTTCCGTAAGCACGTGAGCGCAGTCACTCTGGTGGGAGCTCTGAGAGGTGAGGGGTTCAGCCATGCTCTATGTTCGCTTGTCTGAGTGTGAAGGGCCACGGTGGGAAATGCGCAGGATGGAAGGATTCAGAGATGCTCTCAGTCAAGCCGGGGTTTGCGTGCACCGCTCATTCATGCAGCTTATTACAGTTCGGAGTTGGGCTAATTTTGGTGTCAAGTGTCTCTGAATTTGAAACGTAAAAACTTTATGATTCTGGGACAAGCAGTCTAAACAGTAAACTCTGTGCAAGTCTAGCACACGCCCAGTGCGCCACAGCCCTGTGCTGTGTGTCTGCTCACGCTAGCTTCGGGCCAGGCCACTCACTTTGGGGAGCGTAAGCCGTCGGCCCTGTGGAAGTCGGGCACAGCCACGGCCTTTTACGGGCAGCTGTCCGGATCTTCTGCCTGGAAGTGGGTGGAGGGTTGGCAAGACCCAAGGGCCCATCTTGGGAACACCAAGGAGGAGGTGCTCAGCCCCTGGCCAGAGACAAAGGTATAGGAAGGGAGCAAGAAGCTCCCTGAATAAACCTGAATAAAGGACCAGAATAAAGGAGGAGGACCATGGGCTGTGGTGAAAGTTCTGGAATGTAAGGCCAGAGGGCTATAGCAGCAATCCAGGGCGTCATTCAGACAGTCCGGGCTCAGAGGCTAAGCGGGGGAGCCATAGCAATGTCTCAGAGTGGCCTCCGTCCCTCCACGCCGCCCACACCACGCACTGACCTGGCCTCGGCTCTGGCTTCCCGACGCGGGTGCCTGAGGACCTGGGGACAGCTTCGGGTTGCAGGTGGGCCGGGGAGGGGCAGGCTTTCAGCAGCCCTTGGCGATACTGCGGGCAGAGTCTCTGCTGGGCAGCCGGGATGCGTGCCTTCACGTCAGGCCATTCGCGTGTCAAGGATGTCTATCCTGGCTCCCAGATGTTTCTTGGTTTGGTTATCCTGGCCACCATCCCTAGTACAACAGGATGGTTAATCGTACCTGGGGGCCTTTCTGGTTCCTCAGATGACTGCTGTTTATTTTTTAACTTATTGAATTAATAGCTGTTTCTTTATTTTTGTGACAGTCGTGGGGCTTGAACTCAGGGCCTTGAGCGGTCACTTGCCTTTCTTGCGGTAGGTCTGGCACATGTGATGGTGAGCTATGCCTCCACGTGGAGCTGTTTCATTTCTGGGTAATTGGAAATAAGAGGTCCACAGGATGGCAGGCGTGAGCCGCTGGCGCCTGGCTGCCTGTTGGTTATAATGCTGCAGCATAGGGAACACAGAGGTCATGTTCAGTCAGCGAGTGTCTGGCAGTCACACGCGAGGTCACGGAACATACTCAAAACTCACCTGCCTTTGCTTCTAAGAGTAACTGCCCCCTTTTCTATTTATGTATATATGGTTTATCTGAAGATATCATCAACGTGTAAGTCCCTGTTAAAATGCAAATGTGTTTGAGTCGACAAAGAAAATGTGTTTTTTTTTTTTCCTGGACTAGTCAGGAACCATAATCCTCCTGTTTTCTTCCTGCACAGCTGGGTAACAGGCATGAACCCTGTGCACTTACTTGCTGTTCACCCATTCTTGATGCAGTTGAGGGAGGGAGACCCAAGATGTAAGAGGCTCTTGCCGGTGCAGTGTAGCTTACTGCTTCACAGAAGCACTTTTAAAAAAACTTATAAGTAAAAGGAGTACACTCTAAAATAATTGGTCAGATGTGGAGTATAGTGTGTGAATAAACCCGTAGTGGAGTTGTTACCTTAGTGTGCATTCATGTGTTATACACTGTACCTAATTTTATGGGCTGTACTTTCATGTAACTGACAGTGCAATAGGTTTCTTTATAGCAGTATCATGATGAACATGAACAATGTATTGGGTTTGATATGACAGTTTCTTCGTGACTAGATGACAGAAGTTATTTACTCCCCTCTAATTTTATAGGGCCACCATTTTACATGCAACCCATGACTGATAGAGACCTTATTATGTAGTGCCTTGACACTCAGTGAATATTTACCCATTGAATGATTCAGGCCATGGAATAATATTTGAGGGCATTAACTTCAGAGCCCAGACATGGAACCAGAGCTATTTCTAAATATTTCTTTATTCCTTTTAGCATAATTAAACATATCATCCCATCAGTTTCACAAACTTAACATGTTCAAATGTGGGGCTCATGATCCTCAGATCAACTTTTGGCTTTGCTAACAATTTTGACTACAGATAACTGGTCATCTTGGGCCCCAAATAGTCATTGCATGCAAGCTATAAATACTAATTTCCAGCTCAAGAAATAATGAGCACACCTCCTCATGGATGACGCCATTTGCAAAGAGAGACCAGAATTGATCCAGGAGCAGCATCGTCCATAGCTCTGAACCCCACCCACCATGTTGTCATGGGAGATTATGCCAGAGACGGTGGCCAAATGGCCGTCCTGGCAGCCACGTGACTTTTGTGCTCTGGCCACACTTTTTCTCCAATGATTTTCTTTATTTTCACACTAATCTTTGCATTCAATCCTTGTTTATCTTTATTCAGGCCAGTAGCCTGAATTTTCTGGCTTCTTAATTCCGTAGCTGTGTCCCAAGTGTTGAGTTTCACTGCTGTGTGGAAAAGTACTTTCAGTGATGGTGTAGCTGGCCTTGGACGTGGTCAGCAGGACCTGAGGTGCTGGTGAGATCCAGATGCAATTTCCACTTTAGCCTTTCCTTCCAGGTTCCTATGTTCACGGCTGCACGGTGAGGAACTCCTTCAGCAGAGGCCTCAGCTTGCACAGGACCTGGGGCCTGAGGGTGGACAGCAATGTGTTCTACAAGATTTCAGGCCACGCACTGCTCGTGGGTAAGTGAAACACACTCCTTTCTTCTAGCATTATCATTCTTGAGTACGAGGACAGGTAGCTCCTTGCAAATGTTGAATTCCCAATTGATAAAAAATGTGGCCTTCAGATCATGATGAATTGTCTGTAGTTTGAAACTCTTAAGTTTAAACTTAGTCATCACTGCAATCAGCTTGCTAAACGTTATTAATTAGGCTCTTGGCATCTGCTATATGGCAAATGAGGTAAAGCATTTGTCTCATGATCCCCCACATTTCCAAACCTAGACCCAAACGATGACTCAAGAAGATAAACAGAGTTCTAGAAATGAGGGCTTTGGCAGGGCTATGCCTGCCTGCCTGCCGATATCACTCAGGGACTAAGCACTCCTGTGTCTCATGGTCTTTCCATCTTCTTCTATTCCATCCTCATTGGGTGAGAAGCGTCCAGGCAGGGTCCGGCTCATTCCTCCAGGACCTCTGAGACCTCCTGCAGGAGGAAGAAGGCACTCAGCTTGAATACTGATGGGAGGCAGCGGGGCTGCCAGCGGCTGCCAGACAGTCACTTAAGAAGTAAATTGGAGGAAGACCTGTTTCTCTGTTCTTTGCATTTAAACATTTGGCCTACGACACCCAGAATTACAAAGTCCATAGGATCTTTATTTCTTTGTCTGATTCATAGATTAAAAAGACATAATCAAAATCAAAACAGCCAATACCCAGAAAAGAAGTAGTGCTGCAAGGTTTCTCGTTTTCCTGAATTCATCAAAGAGCTGACGCAATATGATATATATATTTTTTGTTCTCAGGAATGTACATGGATATAAGAAATCCAGCCCAAGATGCTCCTCCTGGAAGAAAATGGGGTAAATATGCAATCTAGATTTTAAATCTATTTCAGTCCATTCACAGTTGTCATATATTTTGTATTCAGGTCTGATGTCTTAAACTTGCATACTAAATTCTTTCTAAAGATATTATATATATGCATATTCTACTTGTTCAACCCTCCTTAGACTCTGTGTATAATCTGAATAAAGCATTTACGTACCATTTTAGGTGCCTCATAGAGGTAGCTAAGATGCTAGTATCATGTACACATAATAAAATGCCTTATATGGGAGGAATTGCATATGTATGCATATATACACAGATATGCTATATATGATGAAATATGTTACATAAAGTAGATTTAGGAGAATCAAGAATGTTGAGTTATATTATGTTTGTGAATACCCTGGGTTTGATTTCTTTTTTTTTTTCTCTCTCTCTCTCAAATCAGACAGGTCTGAACAGGGCAATATAATAACAAACAATGTCATCATCGGTGTTTCTGGTGCCGAGGGTCTGTCTAGTCTGGAAATGCTGGCCCCGTCTGCCATCTATATCCGCAGCCCCACCAACGTGGTAGAGGTAACAGTGTGAGCCGGGCCGGAGCTTGGAGGGCGTACATCCCTCCCACAGGCCACTGGGGCAGGCCTCCCTGGTACAGTTCCAGTCATTGGCTTGATGCATGTTTGTATCAAGATACTTGTTGACAATTTGGTTTTAAGCAAATTTAGGATAAATTTCATCACTTTGGTTTCCTCTTGAGGTTCCTAAAAAACTCTTTGAAGCAATGCCTGTGTGGATCAAAACAAAGTAGATATTGATCGTTTTTCTGGTCATGTAGATGAATGTGAACTAAATATCTTCCTGAATTACCCACAGTGGGTGAAGACTTTTATCTCTCTGATTCTAATTATCTTACTGTTATGCCTTACAAGAATGTTTACAACCAAATGAGGTGTGTGGGATTAGATCAGCTTTGGAGAGGATGAGGTAGACTCCAATGACAGAGAGTTCTTTCTTTTTTCTTTGTCTTTTTCATCCTCTTACATAGTATAGCTTAGTCTTAATTTCTCTTGATAAAATTGTAACCATTTTCTGAAATGAATTTTTCTGAGCACATTTCAGCCACAGATCTGAGGGTGAGCCACTGCGTCAGGAGTGGGGAGCTGTTCACTCCCCTCTTTCTGGTGATTGTAGTTCATGGACTGTGGACGTGGTAGAGGGCCTCAGTTTCCCAGGATGTTGCTCTGAGCAGCCCCCCTGTTGTAACGTTTATACCAATCTTCCGAGGAACTCTGGGGTTGAGCTGCTTCTGCTGATCATCTATTTGTAATTACTTTCAGTTGAGTAACCCCTCGTAAAAGTTGTGGTTATCTCTGCAACCTTCCTTACACTCTTAATTGTGTCTGTTCCAAGGATAGCACTTACACACCATTTTAGGTGCCTAATAGGGGTAGCTAATAAGCTGGAAAGGAAAGGAAGCAGAACTGCACGGACTGGAAGAAACCAAAGCCTAGATGAGGTGTGTTGCACTTGTTGCTCTGGCAGACTTGAGGAGCGGCTAGCTATCATGGCAAGGCCCGAGCAACAAGAGCCATGGTTTGGTGTGCTTGTGATGGAGCATCATCTTGATGATGCTGAGATGCCTTGAAGAAGGCGGCTCTTGGGTTCACCTACCTACCTGGAGCTGCAGTACCTTTGCCTCACGTGTCCCTGGCCACTGACTGATGGGAGCCGTGGTGCAGAGGGCCCGCTGCCCAGCTACTATGTCCCCTGGAGCCTTTGTGGACTGAGCTGTAGAGCTCTACCCAACCATCTGTGGAAAAAGAATGGTGTCCATGACTAGCAATTGCTTTTTCTTCCTTTCTCTTCATTCACTTGTCTTTTACAAAGTTAAAAAAAATACAGTGCATGTTTCAGGGAAAGCTGGTAATGCAATTTCTTTTTTTTGGTATGTTTTTTATTGTAAAAATACTGTACAGAGGGGTTACAGTTACATGAGCAAGGTCATGAGTACATTTCCTATCCAGCATTGCTGCCTCCTCCTTTGTTTTCCCCCTACCATCCCTTCCCTCCCACCTCCACAACTATGCAATTTCATTAGTTACCTTTCTGACATCTTCAGTGACACTAGAATTCTGAAGTTCGCTTTTTATTAGCTTATTAGGCCTTTAGGGTCCAAGTACAATGTCTATCGCATAGAAATTGCTCAGTAAAAATACACTACATTGTAAGAATGCCAGTATAATTCCATGATTGAAGAATAAGGGCAAAGGGAAAGTAAAGAATGTTTCCAACATTTCAAAGTCATTCTGAAGGCTGAAGAGAAAGTTGAACCAACAATATTATTTAGACCCTGTCAGACTCATCTGTTGTCTTGAATGTCACAAAATCCAGCCCAACTTTCCAACCATGTCTCTAGTTTTCTGCCATTCTATGTCTTTTGTATTCTGCTGTCCAAACTGTGTCATTCCTGTGGGCACAGGTGACCACTGGGAATTACATGGACAAACCCAGGAATTACGAGCATCTCTTCTCCCTTGGGGGTGATGAATCCCAGTGCAGTCATGGAGCAAGCAGAGTGTTTATTGAGTGTGTTGTGTGTGGGTGATACATAGAACGCTTTGAAGAGTATATTTTAGAAATATACCTTTATCCTAGCATGATCCTGAGGGGGCCACAGTAATAGTGGTATGGATATATGTATGTGAGAACTATGCGAAAGAAGAAGGGATGTGGAGAGAGGACATGGCTCTCCAGGAAAGTTACTGTGTTCAGAAAGCAAAACTCCTTTGCTCTGAAGAACTATCTCCAGCTGGTAGATTTCCTGTCTTACAAGGTGCCTGGTTCAGGATGGGATTATAGCTAATGGGATGTATTCAAGCTTGATAGATCATTATATTAATGTAATTGATTAAGACTTTCACTGGTTATTTCAAACTTTTGATTTTGAAATAATTTCATAGACAAAAAAATCTAGGAGAGTTTCTGAGTAGTCTTCACCTAGCTTGCTTCAGTGACAACATAACCACATCTTTGGTAACAGAATAAGAGCACAGTCAGGACACTGCATGGTGTGGTGTTATTACCTGCATGACAGTACTCATTTACACCTGGAAAAGGTGGCTTACTCCACTTCATCTGTCCACACACTAGCATCTGCCTTGAAATCCTTAGCCTGGAGGTGGTAGGGAAGAGACCCTCAAGTCTGTGTGATAGTTTGTGGTTGTTTAATATTATTCCAGAATTGTCCAGATGCCGTGCCGAAGACAAAACTCTGTCACGTATTAAAAAATTCACCTTGGCTTGCACTCAGGTACCTTGGTAGTATACTCATCTTCAAGCCTGCACAGCACAGACACCTTTCCATTTTGACCTTTTCACATCGTCAGATGGTCTGCCCATCCAAGGCAGGTTCTCTAAGAAGATGATATAGATATATATGTATATATGTATGTGTGAATATATATATGTACATAATCTACCAAACACAGATGCTATCTGTGTGATCTTCTTGGACCTGTGCTTTTCCTTTCCTCTGCTCTCCAAAGGCAGATTCATCCTATTCCCCCCCCCCCCCCCCCCCCCCCCGCTTGCCAATGCATTGCTGTATCTTTCTGGAACATTCCATGCCTAGCCTCTTTTCTTCAGCAGCGCCAGCAGTTGAGTCTCCTCACAGGGCTCCTTTGCATCTGGGCAGAGGCTCCAGCTTTGCAGAATGCAGACCCTTCAGGATCTCTCAGCGTCCCCGCCGGATGGCGAGCCTCCCTCCGGCCCAGCAGGGGCCAGTCTGTGTCCGGAGCCTGAGCACCCCCCTTGGTGTGTCCCCTGTTGGCGCAGGTGTCGGAAGCTTCCTGTGAGCCGACTGTGTTTAGGATAGTCTAGAAAAACCCTCAAGAAGAGCCCTCGGGAGGTGTCCATTTAATTCGAGGGGAAATTTGTTCTGGTTTGTGAATCAATTTTGTAAGGAATTCTGTGTTCTCTAGCTCTCCCTGCTCAGTCGGTAATGCATATTTAAGAGCTGCCTGAAGGGTTAACTTGGTTTTTTTTTTCCCCTTCCTTTCTTCCTTCCTTTCTTCCTTCCTTTCTTTTCTTTTTTTTCCCTAGCCCCTGCAGATGTTACCTAAGGAGCTGGCTTATGTGGGTAGTCAATTTCTCTCTGGAATTTCTCTTGCTTGACTGTCCATAATACATTGACTTCCACAAAGAATTGATTTCCACACAAAATTCCCTGCTTTGCTTCAAACCTTCCCCCTGCAAGGCGCGGTTGCCTGCACTTACACAGCTTCCCCACAAAGCGTTTGCCGCGTGCCTAGTTGGAATCCGGAGCAAGAGGGTCCGGAAGCAGTGCGAGCCCACTGCTGATGTGTCTCTTTTTGTAAGAAGAGTGAGCCCTATCGCTGATGGGGCACCTGAGTAGCAACCTTCTGCCCAACAAGAAATACACCTGAGAAGTGCTCCGTAGGTGCTAGTGGCACAGGGTAGTTGATTCCACGCGTCCTTCCCATTCACTGAAAGCACATTCTTTCCTAGTGCCGCCGCCAGAACCTTGCCACTGCTTGTAAGGTCTTGGTGATGAGCAAAGTTCACCACAGATGTGTGTCCGTCTGAGGGCATCGCCGTTAGGCCCTTGCGCACATTTCTCCTTGTTGGTGTGCTTGTGGAAAGGTGGGTGTTCAAGGGCCTCCTCTCTGCCCTTCGGTTCTGGCGTATCTACAGATCACGTGTTTAGAGAGACACAGCCACCAGGCGCAGGGCACCGGCAGGTGGGGCGTCGGGTGTACGGTGCTGGGAAAGCGTTTTCTATGCAGTCACGGCTGTGAACACAGCGGTAGTGTTTAGTTGCGTAGTCCAGGAGGGTTCCAGAGGTTTGTGTTTTTCCAACTCAGAGGCTGGACTTCCTCCTCAGGCACAGACTCATTAGGGTGTGTCCCACTGTCTAGGGAAAATGAATTTAATGCTAGAAAATGTTCTTTGGGGGAATGCCTAATGCCAGACTTGATTGTTATGAAAACGATCACAGCATTCTTTTTTTTTTTTTTTGGGTCCGGTCATGGGGCCTGAACTCTGGGCCTGGGCGCTGTCCCTCAGCTCTTCAGCTCAAGGCTAGCACTCTACCACTTGAGCCACAGCACCACTTCCGGCTTTTTTCTTTTTTCTTATGTGGTGCTGAGGAATCAAACCCAGGGCCTCGAGCATGCAAGGCAAGCACTCTACCACTGAGCCGTCTTCCCAGCCCCCACAGCATTCTTATTGGAATGAATCAGGTGTTCATTTTAGGTTGGAAATAGGTAATTCCATCAAAGTTTGGAGACAGGACCTTAAAAAGTAGACGTAGGTGGTTCTGATACAGCCTGTGGCCCCAGTGGCAGGACATAGGCCACTGTCTGTGCACTGTGACAGCGTGGACATTTTGGGCCAGGTAATCTTGTGAGGTGGACGGTGCAGACCTCTCTGTCCAACAGTTTCCTTGCTTTATGCTCTTTTGAGTACAGTGGCCCTTATTCCACCCGGAGTTGTGATCATCAAAACAGATATCCATCGTTAACAACTGTGCACCAGCCTGCATCACCCTAAGATAACTGGTGTCATAGAAATGGTCGCATTCCCCAGGTACCGTGGGCCATCGTGAATAGCCTTTCAGCTTAGGATCCAGTGACGTCCCAGAGCCACTTTGGCGGGGGGGGGGGGGGGGGGGGGGGGAGGGGAGGGAGGGGAGGGGAAGCATGTGGTAAGCGAGACATGGGATTAGAGTTATAAATGGCCTGGGGAAATGGGAGAACTGCTCAGAATCCCAAATAATGACACAGAGCACAAGCCAGCTCATCCACAAGGGGAGAGAATGTTCTGGAACCCAGTTAAAAAAAAAAAGAGGAACGGCTGTTTCTTTACTAACACCCGGAATAATAAGAGACCACAGTTGGGTCCACAGTACCTAAAGCTAAGGCTGAGTGAACCGCTCGATGGCTGTGTCAGCATGTGTTGGCTCCCTGGCCAGTGGCCGGTTTCAGCTGGATGAACTCTGGCCCTGACACTTGCTGCCCCATCGACCACGCCCCCTGGGGAGCCAGGCACCAGCTACTCTGCTCACAGGAGGGCCGCAGTTCAGTATTGTTAATTTAAACCAACCTAGTTCAAGATTATTTTTCCCCACACATGGCCTTTGTTTCTTTTCCTCCTTCCCTCTGTCCCCCTCTCTCTTTCCTGTCTCCCTCTTCCCATCTCATTCCCCCCATCTTCCCATTTCCTCCCTTCCTCTCTCTCCTCTCCCTCTTCCTTCTCTTCCCTCTTCCTCGTCCCTCTCTCTCCTCTCTCCCCTCCTTTCTTTCTATCCCTCCCTCCCTCCACTCCTGCCTCGGTTCCTTATGAAACATGAGGCATGTCCAGGGGGGAACAGGACTTTTGATTCTACATGAGAATAGGACTTTTAATTCTACATGCAACTTCCAGATGATGATCCAGTTTTCAGAGAGACGCCTTTAAGTAGGCACGTAAGCTAGATTTAGCTTATAAACTTACTAGTAAACATGTTGGATGGTATGTAGGTATATATAAATGTATTAATTAAAATATGCTAGATTCAAAGAAGAACTCAGTGTGATTCCTTAGAAATGCTGTCAAAGTTCAGAAAAATAAAACACCAGGAAGTGGGTACTTGAAAGGGGTAGGGTGGGGTTAGGGGCAAAGGTGGAGATGAATGAAGAGGAGGAAATCCAATGTATATCCTATAAAATTAAGAAGAGGGCTGGGAGGTGGCTCCATGGTAGAGCGCTTGCCTTGCATGCCTGAGGCCCTGGGTTCGATTCCTCTGCACCACATAAGCAGAAAAAGCCAGAAGTGGCGCATGTGGCTCCATGGTAGAGCGCTAGCCTTGAGCTGAAGAGCTGAGGGACAGCACCCAGGCCCAGAGTTCAGGCCCCCACGATTAACAAAAACAAAAAAAAGACGAGGGAGGGAAGAGGTGAGTAGGGGAGGAATGGGAGAATGTTGAAAGGGTGACATTGATCAGAATATATTCATGAACTTCTTTGTTAAGTGACAGCGCCTTTGTGCAACTACTTGAAGATAATTTAGGAAAAGGAATACTAAGGTGAGTTAATCATGTAACTAGCACAGAGTACGTTGAGGAAATTCAGGTTGCTGTGAACTCAGCCACTGTGTCTCAGACCTAAGGCTTGCCTAGTCCAATGCATGGCCTTCCGCCAGTGGTCAGATCACTGATTTATTCAAAAGAGCAGGAGAACACTGTGTAGTCTGGGCTCCCCGAGATGGGTCTCTGCCGTAGAGAGTGGCTGTGTGTGTCCTCACCTTCATCGCCCAGATTCATCATCCCAGGCAAACTTCACACAGTAGAAGCCCAAAGGAGGCTTTAAAGCAAGACAGCAGTTCGGGAGTGGGGACAGAGAGGGATGATTACAGTCTAGCTGAGATGCCTCCAAGAAGGGGGGTGGAAGGGCTTTTGAACCTGTGGGCAGGGGGCGGGGAATCGAGTGCACCAAGGTTTCGCATAGCTTGACAGGAAGTGAATGAAAAAGTAGAAAATGCAAATGAGAGTCTTCCTTTTACAGCAACCCTAACACACTTGGGATGATTGTATTTTAAAACAATCCTTGATTCCTGTAGGGGAACAGAGCGTATGGGGCCGGCTACGGCTACTTTTTCCATCTCGTGACGAGACAAACATCACAAGCTCCGCTCCTGTCCTTCACGCAGAACAAGGCACATTCTTGTACTAGGTAACGTTGGGGAAATTCATGCTTGCTTGGGCATACTGCTTGTGTTTAGTGCTTGTTTTACAGCGCACTCACAAGTGGGGTACAACCTTTGGCAGTTGCTTGCGATTTGTATCGGTATTTTTTTTTAAAACCATATTATTATAGTATTGCTGAAGTTGAACACACTATAAATGTTTTGCGAATATGACTTAATAAGTTTGGAGATAAGTATACGCCCAGGAAAACTGGGCCATAGTCTCTGCCAGAAATACATTGATGGGCTCCAAATGATTCCTTCTGGTATCTTAATTAGCTAGTGAATTAATAAGTATGTTAATAAGCACATTAATTAACTAGTTAGTTATTGAGAGACACGTTACTAAATTTTAGATCTACAACAGTATCATTGGTGGTAGGCAATGCACTGCCCAGTATCTTCTTGAACTCGTGTGTCTGGTTTAGGGGGAACCTCGTGCCCTTCCATGGATCCCTTTGCGTTTTCTACATCCTGACACCGCTGAGGTCTTCTGTATCTCTACTCTCCCTATTCATATTGTAATATATGCTGAAGGGTTAAAATCCAGAATATATAAGATACTCCACCCAAATAATGCGCAGTCGATGTAAATAGACATTTCTTATAAAGAAGTCAAGCAAAGAAATTACAAAAGCATTCGAAAAAAATGCTTAAGTCATTAATCAGGAAGGGAAAATATGAATACCAAAATCACGATCAGATCTCCCCTCAGAAGAATTGGAACAGATATGAGCAGAAAGACAAGTGACAAGTATTGGAGAAATGTTGTGTGTGTGGAGCAGACGGGGCATTTCCATATGACAGTGTAAAGTACGTGGCCGTTAGGGAACTCAGTATGTGAATTCTCATGAAAGTGTAAGTTGAACTACCAGGTGATCCTGAAATTCCACGACTGAGCACAGATTCAGAGGAAACAAAATCAGTCTGTCAAGGAGGCACCTGAACTGCCATGTTTATTATGATTCTATTCTGAATGGCGAAGGAAACAAAGCTAAGAGTCTATAAACTGATGAAGATGTATGCCTGTGTGCACATGCAAACACACACACACACACACACACACACACACACACACACACACACACACACAGAAATAGTATTCAGCCCTAAAAAATGTGGAATCTTGTCATTTGTGACAACACAAATGGAACTGGAGAACATTTTGTTAAGTGAAATAAGCCAGACAGACAAAAGACAAGTATTGCATAAAAAGTTGGTCTCCAAGCAGCTGAGAATGGAATCATATAGTTCTTCTCAGAGGCTGGGAAGAATAGGAAGCAGAAGGATGGAGGACTGGTCCGGAGGGAGTCAGTTATAGTGAGGAACAGTAAGTTCTGGTGTTGTAAGTTGCAGTGAGGAACAGTAAGTTCTGGTGTGTATCATGCAGCTTAGTGACTATAGATAATGATAATGTGATGTATATCTCAATAAACTCTGGAAGAAAGAGTTTGTTCTCACCATAAAGAAATGGTAAATGCAAAGAGAGAAAGACCTGCTTCTCCTAACATGATGCCATGCGTGTCCCCATTGGTGCGCTTAGAAAAATGTGCCAGTACTGTGCGCTCACTAAAAGATAAAAACATATTAAAAACATGACAATTCCAGTTGGAAAAAAAGTGAGGAGAAATGTATCAATTGACTAGGTTTCTTTCTTGTTTCTCTTTCTAGGTCTGGCCTCTTTGTATACCCCAAATATCAGCCGCTGTGGGACCCTGACATGGGTCCCACTTTGTTCCAGAATTTCATGGTTTGGGGAAGTGCAGGTGGTGTCCAGGTGAGCTTTTTTCACCTTCAAAACATTAAATTAGTTGCTTTCTTCTAACAAGTCTTCGTGTGAGTGGCCATGCTGGGTTGCTCATGAAACCATTGTGATGTCAGCACAGCTTTAAAGAATAAGTGGCAGTGTGTGTGTGTGTGTGTGTGTGTGTGTGTGTGTGTGTGTGTGTGTGTGTGTGTGTGTGAGATTGTAGGTAAGTAAGCCAAGTCCTTGTCTAGACCTAAGGTCATTTCAGCATTCTTAGTGGAGATAGGACAACGTCTGTGCACAGCCAGGATGTGAGTGAATTGTGTGATCAACAGGTGCATTGTGTTTAACGTTCACGAACTTCCATTTTATCTAGCAGTTTGCACGCAGGTGTCACGAGCGTATGTTCAAGGTCAGACTATCATGTTGGGTAGAGTCCTGCTATTTTCCCCCTCAGATTAGCTTTCATTTTTATCCGTCTAGGTTTCTCTTGCCTGCGGTCTGCCTTCTCTGAGCAGTTCTGATCGCTTACAGCCTCAGCGCAGATTGGGTCACATCCACGAGCCCACTTTGCGGGGCCGGTGTCTTCTCTTAGTTCCGTTTTTACATCACTGAAACAAATGCCTGACACACACAACTTAGGGAGGAAAGGCCTTTTGTTTTGGTATTGCATTTTTTTAACTACACATGGTTGTACAGGGGGAGTGTGCAGATTTCACGGTCTGCTGATGTGTGTGGCGCAACTCGGTCAGTGCTACCCTCCTGCTCACCCGGCCCCCACCGCTCAGCTCAGGTTTCCCAATCCCTCTCTCCCCTGTGTGCGTGGAGTCCCAGGACTGCGTCCATCCATCTCCTTTCCATTCCACATCGCCCTTTTCCAGCACATCCACCCACAGGCAGGTTTCATCCTGCACAGGGAATTCTTCACTCAGAAGGCGTCTCCTGGCATGCTGGCCCGCGGGACTGGCTTCCTGCATTAAGTTTTGTCATGCTGGTGACAGAATGCCCGATGTGAGCACCGTCCAAGGAGGAAAGATGAATTCGGGCTCCGTGTGTCTGTGTTTGCCTAGCTCCATGTGTCTGGGTTTACTGTGAGGTAGACCGAAATGGCAAATGGAAGGAAGTGGTGGAGAAGCAGCTTAGCTCGCGCTGTGCAGGAAGAGAGGGCAGTGTTAGGTTCACTTCACCCTGATTTTAAAGATGGCTGACCCAGGGCCAACAGGAAGGAGTCGTGTACAAAGTCATCCATTGCTGTCAGAGTTTGGTGGAAAGCAAGAGGCGAAAGGGATTCTATCAGCTCTTTCACACGATGCTGTCACTACTCACTCCTGGCTCAGACACACTCCTGCTCGTTGTCACAAAAATCTACTGGAGACCATAACTATGTCTAATGCACACAGTGAGTCTGTTCTTGTGGTTCAGGGCTTAACGTTAAATTCTCAGTCTCTACATGAGCTACTATTTACTATATTGACAAATACACAGGGCCCCAGAGTTTTCAGATGCTGGATTTTTCTGCATTAACTTTGCGTGACTAGGTCACTGTACAACTGTTTTAAAACAGGGGAGGACTTCACATTGACCTTTTAATACGTTGTCTGCTATAAGGAGAAATGAAAAGTACAGAGTGGGAATTGCCGAAAGGGGTTAGTGCTGGGCTTGTAGCAACTTTGAGGTATCTGTACTGATATTCTTGGACAAAAGCTGCTTAACTATAGTATCACGTGCTTATTTATCCTTAATCAATAATTAAAGAAGTTTCAGGAAGGCTGCCAGCAAAAGCCAAGCCTCAGACCTTTGCCATAATGTTATTATTTTATAGATTTCTAGAAGCAGCAATCTTCACCTGAAAAACTTCCAAGTGTATTCATGCAGAGATTTTGGATTTGACATCTTGGAAAGTGATGCAAATACTTCAGTTTCCAACAGCTTATTACTTGGTCATTTTGCTGAGGAGGTAAGTTCCTGGGTATGGTTGTTTGAGTCTGTCCATCAAGACAGAATCACTGTGGTAACACTCTTGATTATACAATCTAAACAATTTTACTAGTATTCGTGAACGACATTGATAAAGTTAGAACTTCCTTTTATTAACAGCCACCATGTTAACACTAAAATTCAGTGTCACGCTTCCGTACAAATCACAGGCATCACGAGAGATGTAAAGAATTTTTATTCAATTGCAATTTAAGCTTATTGTCTATCCAAGTTCACAATTAACTCTAATGACTCTGATCTAACTTTCTTTACTCCACAAGAGTCATGGAATAGCATGATTCTACGCTGGCCCTCTTCACTGCGACAGACTTCCTGGAGTTTCATCCAAGATATTTTCTCCTGATGCTTATTTATTTATAATCAGTGCATATTAATTTATAGAAAAGATGTTTGGATATTTTCTTAGTAGGACCTTTTCTCCGTTTGGCATGTGGCTGGGTCAGGTGATGGAAATTTACATAGTATGTTAGTGATGGTAAGATTTTGTGCAGTACTCCCTTCTTTAGGGGCCGATGTCAGTGTGGTAAAAATCTCTCTGCATGACCGCTCCATCCTTGCCTGGTCTGTGCACCAGGATGCAGACAAGGCAAAGGGAACTTCCGAGGTGAGCAGTCCCAATTCTCCCTAAGGGAAACTTCAGACCTTCATTAGATCCTCCAGGCTCTTGTTTCTGAAGGGGTTATATGTGTGTAGATCAAAGCCCCTTAACTTGCCTAGACAGAACCATAGAGTAGATGCTAAAACAAAATGCCTATCAAAGTGCACACCTAACTTTCCTAGTAAATTAATGCTCTGCTATCTTCCTTGATGCTAAAATGACACGATTAATGGAGGAGGGACATAAATAGAGATAATAAATTATGAAAAAATGGTGCTTATCATGAAGTAATAATAATAATAATAACAAACCACCAGCAATCGCAGCCTTGGTGTGTAACTCCCTAAGGGCGCAAAGCTGACGGACAAACGTTTCTGATTGAAAATGTTGACTGCTTTTGTTTTTAGAGAAGTCTGGACACCAGTTAGTCACCCAAAGCATAAAAACACATGATTTCAGAACCTCAAAGAGGACCTTCCTAGAATTTCAAGTGGAGAAATGGAGCTATAACTTGGGAAATTCAATTATGGAGATTCAAGATTCATGCTGGGCGCTGGTGGCTCACACCTGTAATCCTAGCTGAACTCAGGAGGCTGAGATCTGAGGACTGTGGTTTGAAGCTAGCTTGGTCAGAAAAGGCTCCATGAGACTCTTATCTCCAAGTAACAACTCAAAAAAATGGAAGTGGCGCTATGGCTCAAAGTGGTACAGTGCTAAGCTCCATCAAAAGTGCTCAGGAACAGCACCTAAGCCCTGAGTTCAAGCTCGAGGACAGGCATGTACACACACACAAATGATTTAAGATTAATATTGTGGAGCAGGGGCCCCTTTGAACTCCTCCCAACTGCAACTTAAATAGCCTCATTGACAGGTGGAAATGAGTTCGACCTGAGCACTGTTTAGTCTGTAGGTAATACCTTCCCTAGGAGCCTCGCCCCTCACTATCTGGCCTCTTTGGCACACTGTTATGTCTGTAAACGGTGTCATTTCTCTTTGTGTTGCCATAATTCAGTAATGCGGTCACGAGATGCCTCGGATGGGTGGTTTGTGACCTTTTAGAGCTGGCTTTATTCATCCCCAGAGGTGTTCAGCCACCTTGTTGGATGTATCAATACTTTGTTTGTCCATTCTATAAATGTTAGCACTGTTTTACTCATTGATTTATTGCAAAGCCCTTGGCTTGTTCTCCTGATTTGGTTATGGCCAATGGCTTTGCCATAATAATTCATGTAAAGTAAGTACGCAGATGCTGAAGCACGAGGTCATCTGAGAAGGATATATTGAACTTGATGAGACTCTACCGAACTGTTTTCCTGCATAGCTGCACACAGTGGGCTGAAGGCCTTCCTTATCTCATGGGTACTTGGCATGATCACCTTTGAAGATGGCCATTCTGATAGGTAGATGGAGTACTTTGGGAACTTACTTGCATTTCTCTAATCCGTGTACTGCAAAGCATCCCCCGCCCCCCGCCCCTCTCTGGCTCATGATCATGGCATGGATACATTCTCTTTAGAGGAGTATCTTTAACTTTTTTTTCTTGATTTTTTTTCAGTTAAATTGTCTGTTTTCTTTTTTGGGGGGGGGATTTGAAGATCGTTTACTCTGTATTACAGATACAAATTCTTTGTCATAAATGTGGTTGGCAACTATTTTTTTCCCCCAGTCTTTATCTTATCTTTTTGTTGTTGTTGGTGTTTGTTTTGCTTCTTTTTTTTTGTATGTGCTGGTACTGGGGCTTGAACTCAGGGCCTAGGCACTGTCCTTTAACTTTTCCGCTCAAGGCTAACAGTCTACCACTTAAGTAGAGAAGCTCCACTTTCAGTAGCTTACTTTATACTCTGTAAATTATTTTCACTTGTCTATCATGGGCTGTATTTCATATGGCTAGTTCTTTTAGTTTGCTTTTTTCTTTCTTTTATTTACAAAAATATATACAGAGAAATCTGTGCATGTCAACTGGGATTAAAACTCCCAAAAGACGGGAATTGATGATTTCGAACACAACTTTTGTCAATTTTGATCTCTTCAACTGTGTGGCTATCCGAACCTGTTCCGGCTGTTCTCCAGGACAGGGTAAGTTTGAATAAACCTGGAAAGTAAGGTCAGTGCTCAAGCAGATAATGATAAGCCATGCAGAGCCTTTGCAAGTCCATCTTTCCATCAGTCATAAAGTTGCATCCGTGGACATGGCTGCTCCAGTTTCCTGAAAGAGACTCTAGGAGAGCAGGTTCTCCCAGCGAGTCTTCCGCCCATCCCGGTCACGGCCCGGTCTGTCATGCCTCAGTTGGTCTTCCAGCATTGTAAAGGTGGTGATGGCATCTCTCTTGCCCAGTGCTCTGTTACTAGCACACAGCAATAACCTGGTGGACGATTCATTCATAAAATCAGTGAATGGGGTTGGATGGACTGAGGGACACATGAGCATCAGCTGACCTACATAAGCCTCTCCTGAAGTTACTGCATGCTTTCACAGCTGAAGGCCAGATGGAGGCCCAAGGAGTTATAGAGACTTTGTTTACTTGTTAACCATATTTTGGGGTTCAGTGATCTAGGGCACAGGCTGCAGTTGGGTGAGTCAAGTCCTGTCCTGGGCTCTTCCATACCGCTTGATGTGCTGTAACCGCTCACTGTGTGTGTGTGTGTGTGTGTGTGTGTGTGTGTGTGTATACACACACATATATATATGTATATATAATATTTTTTATTGGTCGAATAACTGAGCGCATATAAAATTGTCTACCTAAGCGAGTGAAAATACTAACAGGACTGACGTGTATGTACTTGCTTTCCGTGATAAGGGTCTCTCTGCCTTCTAACTGACAGGTGGGTTTACAGTGACTACCAAGCAGTTGAAGTTTGCCAACTCTTCAAACTTGGTAGCGTTTCCGTTTCCTCACGCGGCAGTTCTGGAAGACGTGGACGGGTCTCTGTCTGGGAAGAACGGAAGTCACATCCTGGCTTCTGTGGAAACCCTCTCGGCTTCGTGTGCGGCCAACGCCAGCTTCAGCGGGCTTGTCCGTGGCAGTGTCTGTGGAGAAGACGTGGTTTTTCATCGCATGTCTATTGGGTTGTAAGTGGAAGGAAATACATTGTTTGGCTTTTTAGTGAGCGTGCATATTTCACTCAGGCTACTGAGGCTTGTAGAAGGGAAATTGCTTTCTGATTAGTTGAAGTATTTATAGATGGGGATAAGTTTGCCTCACATCAAATCATTGGTTATGGTGGTTTTAGGCTGATTCAAATGACAGCTGGCAATATCACTGGGCTGGGCGTCATAGCTTCTTATTGGCATTTTGAGTTGATAGTGCTTCTTTAAGAGACTTCCAGCCAACAGATGATTTGGACTCTATTTAAATGAAAAGTATTATTAAAAAATTCCAATAACGTCCATCCTCAGTGATATACATGCACTCTCCCCAAGCTCTTTTTAAAACCTGTTCATTGTGCTCCAGGAAAGCAATCATGATGTCTCCTATTACTTGCCAGGTTGCTTTACGCCAGTTCATTTTCCTTGTTAATTTCATGAACTATTGGATTCGTACAATACCTTTCCTATTAATATGGAGCAAGGACTCCTTGGCTGTGCTACTCAAACTACCATTAAGTCAGCAGCTGGGCTGTTTATAATGCATAATAGGCTTGCTCCTGCCTTCTTTAATTTCCAGGTAATGATTGCTGAGTGTCGAGGGCTCTCTCTTTTACCTATTTCAAATGCATTGTGTATATTTAGCCACACTTATTTCCTTCCTCTGTTTTAAGTGTCTTAGGTCCATGCATATTAAGCCAAGTAATTTAGTCAAGCCCCCTTGGCATCTTATTTGAGCAGGTAAACTGCAGTAACTCTGCATCCTGGGGACATGCCAGGACACGCCACATCCATGTCTTCTCATGCTTTCAATAAGGCTCTATGGTGCACAGCTAGCGTTCGATAGTCCAGAGTTTTTCTACCCTTTCTTTCCAAACTCTTCATTATTTTCTCTGAAGTTATCGGTCCCAACTGTAAGGAGTAAAATAACAACGATGGAGAGGTAGATTTAAAAAAAATTGAATTTTGATTGTACTGAGGATAACTTTTTCTTCATTTTTAGGAATGCTGCTTTTTTTGATGGTCATTCCACTCTTGCCAAAATGACTTGATATTCTGAGATGGGTTCAAGTTAGTGATTCGTTCCCAAGATGCAATGCTTACCAGTGAGGAAGATAATACCCAAGATGCAATGCTTACCAGTGAGGAAGATAATACCCAAGATGCAATGCTTACCAGTGAGGAAAATACTATAGATTTGTGCTGTGAAAGAGGGTTGTTCTGTGCTTGCTTTTTTGTGCTTCTTCTTTGCCAAAGCCTGTTGAGTTGTGCCTTGCTTTGACATCTTCCTAGGTTGTCTCTTGGATGGATGTGGGTCAGTGCGATTGTAGACGGGGCTGCAGAACCCAGCCTTGTCTGCAGATCTGACCTTGGAGGTTTTCAGAGCAGGAACTTTGGCCCTTCCTAGGGTCATCATCTCCTGACACAGAGTCTGTCAAGGCTGGGAAAGTGAAAGTCCTGGTTCTATATGCTAAGTGATCTAGTAAGGCTCCCAGGAGGGTGAAAGTTTACCCTGTCTTTTTCTCTTTGGGGGAATATTTTCCCCTCCCAAAGTGGAGAATCCAATATTTTGGAAATGAAGGTGATTGGCCAACCGCTTTCCTAGGCTTCTATTTCAGGTGAACCCACTGGTCCTTGGATAAATATCCACATGTCTCACAGTCCCGTGAGGGAGGTCTCCGTGTGCTGCCAGTCCTAGGTCTCTCGGCCCTGGGTCCTCGTGTTTAGTCTAGGGCAACTAGACTGGATGAGCTCCGAGGCCCTGGGCTTAGTGCAGGGGCAAGAGAATCGGCATCCTCAGCCAGTGCCTTCGCCATGCAGAATCTCAGGCTGGGCCTCAGACCATCTGAGCCAGGGGACTCACCCAAAAGCTGGGGAGCACTGTCTCAGGTCCTCCTCATTCTATCCTTCCCCGATGCCAGCCCTGGCTGTCTGTGCTCAGTGGCTTGATCTTTGTCCCAGAGCATTATAACCTCATTAGAAACATGTCAGTGCTAATGAGCAAATTTGAATTCAAACTTTGTTGTGTTTCATGGAGAAAGGATTAATTTGTTGTGCTACTTGCCCCGGGGCAAGCACCCTAAGAGCTGATTTACAAATCTCGAACATCATGATCTTTGGGGTTGCGTGCTGATGGAGATCTGAGATGGCACCAGCGCCCTGCTGTCTTCACTTTCAGCTGTTACCCCCTGCCTCAGCCAGAGGTCCCGGGAGGGGAGGGAGGGGGCTTGATTTAGCTGCATAAACGGGCCACCCTCCCCGAGTTGCTGAGATCCAGGCACTTGGACTATGATTGCGTCCTGGTTAGGCCCTGCTCTGGTTCTTCCTTTGACACAAGTGGCCTTCTATTTCTGCTCCTCACTGTCGCCCTTCACACTGACCGACCGATGCCCACGTCGGTGGCACTTCCTATTGCCTGGGCTTCCGGGACTCCACCCTGGAGGCTGGGCTCGCTGAAGCACGGACAGAGGTGAAGCTGGCCACAATGTTTGATCCCCGTGGGACGAGCACAGGGCAGAGTCAGGTTCACGTGCCAGCAAGATGCCAGGTGGCCAAGCTGCGTGGGAGCACGTGTGGGTTGGTTCCTTCCCCCTCCAGCTTCACATACACACTACTGCAGGAGTCACGGCCTTCCTGAGCCCTGGCCTTGCCAGGCTGTTCCCACCAACCTCCTTTAAGGACCTCAGTCTTCCCGAAGAGGGAAGAAGGCAGTGCGAGGTCAGGACCGTCCGTAGCAATGGATGCCAGGGGACATTTTCTCCAGTGCCCATGAATGATGACACGAGTTGCCTAGTGCTTGTGTTTATCTGTCACCAAGATGTTAGTAGCGTCTTCTGCATCAATCTAGAGCTATACAGAGGAAGAGGGTGCTATGTGCAGGTGTGTGTGTGTGTGTGTGTGTGTGTGTGTGTGTGTGTGTGTGTGTGTGTGTGTGTGTGTGTGTGTGTGTGTGTGTGTGTGTGTGTGTGTGTGTGTGTGTGTGTGTGTGTTTCTTCCAGACTTCCTCTGTAAGCTCCTCTCTCTGTTCCTGAAATGCTGGAGCCCTTTACGTTTTGGCATGCTGTCCCTTTCTTCCCAAAGCATGCATCCTTGCTGGGTGAAGCTGCGTTAATTTTACAACCTCACTTAACATTCAGAAAGGAGCCCCAATAGTTTCCCTCTGGTCTTCATTGCTCTACTGCTCTTCAGGTCTCTTTCTCCAGACAGCCCTTAGGAGCTGCACTGTCCCGCGTTATAGCCACTGGAAACACACAGCTTCTATAGCCAGGAGCTCCGTAGCTATGCAGCTACTGGCTAGTCCAAATTGAAGTATGCTATACAGTTACATTGTGTACCATCTTTTTTTTTTTTTGGTCATGGGGCTTGAACTCTGGGCCTGGGCGCTGTCCCTAAGCTCTTCAGCTCAAGGCTAGCACTCTACCACTTGAGCCACAGCACCACTTCCAGTTTTCTGGTGGTTAATAAGAGTCTCATGGACTTTCCTGCTTAGGTTGGATCTGAACCAGGATCCTCAGACCTCAGCCTGCTGAGTAACTAAGAGTACAGGTGTGAGCAACTGGCTGCCATTGCTATTTACTTGTAAAACTACAACAGCTCCTTAGCTTGATACCTTATGTGTGGTCTGATCTTGAGCCTTTCATACATACATTTGGTCTTGCCCTGTGTTCCATGCTTGACATTGACTTCACAGTGCCTTTCTTGGAAAGCTAATGTTCTTAATACCCTGCTGTGGGTTTGTGTCATCACCCAGTACTTCCTTCCTTGTACCTGTCTCTTAGCCACATTCAACTTCTTTGCTCCTTTCCAGTCATGGAATTCAGCTTTCATGAGCTCCTGGAAGTTTCCTTGAGCAGCCAACATAGATTTTTAGTATTCCTTCTGTGTGCTAGCCCTCTAACCAGTAGTTTTAGCTCAAGAATGGTTTTGTAAACTGTCCATGTTTCCTTGTAGATGGCAAGGAAGGTTAGTTTGTTGTTGTGAGTTTTGTGTAAGTGAAATTCCTCTAATGTCCTTACTCGTTTGTGTCTTGTGTAAGACATGTTCACATGAAGTCTCTCTGCATTCAACCAGAGATAAAAATGTTCTCCCCAGTTTTAGTTCCTAAAATTCGTAGAAGCATGAAAGCTCAGTGTGCTCTATGATCTTCCCCGAGCCTTTCCTCTCTGTGGCTATCAGATGATCAGAGGATTTATTTGCACATCTGATCTATTTTTTTTCTGCATCCTCACCCCAAAACCACCCAGTATTCCACTTACTTTTGCAATTGTCTTCTTGCTCTGGTTGTGCATATAGGCACGTAGAGTTGTGCTGGGGGAGAATGAAAACTCAGCCCTCACAATGATTATCTGGGAATTATTAGACTTTTGGTGTAAAGCACAGTAGTGCTATTTCTGTTTTCATTGGCTTATTTAGAGATCAAGAAATCAGGCCTCGCTTCTGCCTCCTAATTATGGACTGAGTTGACTGGGGAAAATTAGAAAACGTAGAAGCCTGACAAAATGCTCCGTCCAGAGCTTTTTCGGTTGTGCACAAAATATAGTCAGGATATATGCATATAATCTAAAATTATTTTTCAAAAGGGGAAGACCAGAGAAGCAATCACGAGTCTCTGGAGGGGATGAGCCAAAGCTTCTTAGCCTCTTCGTGTGTTCTTTTAGAATAGCAACTTCCCTTTTCCTAAGAATAAGAGGAGCATAGGAACATTGGTGCTCGTACAAGTCCTTTGCCATCATTACAGTAAGGGCCTAATAAATGCTGCCTTGGAAGAGTCTGTATTTTACATTTGTTATTTAAAGGACCACGCATAGGCACATGACTAATTGAATGAAATACCGAGAAACAAATGCCTGGTCAAAGGAATCGAATCTGCTTAAATGTAACTTAATCCAATTTCCGAAAACAAGGTAATAATTTCCAATAATCCCATGACATCATAGCAGTCCAGCGGAAACTGGCGGATGGTCAGGAAATCAGAAGCCTGGAGGTCCCAGCCTTTGACCAGTGGTGCCTGGTGCTTCTGTTTCCTCCTTCCTGCCGCTGGAAAGGAAGAGGTTAATGTCCTTGCTGATCACCTTGAGCCTTAGATCTTGCCTAATATCCTCTCCCGTAGTGCTTGCGTTCAGTTTCCACCTCTGTAAGTGCTCTTAATGTGTCCGCATTCCAAGTATGAGGCACCCCTACCTCTGCGCACGCCAAAGTAAAGAAGAGTTCAAATGGAAATTTTGGCCTAGCTTTTCGTCTAATAATCGCCTAACTCTTCTTCCTAGGGCTAAATTGGCAAAGCATCACTAATGGTATCTTACAGTCCTTTTTTTTTTTTCTTTTTTAAATAAAAAGACTGCGAGACAAAAAAATTTCCAGATCTCTCCTCATCTCCTGGGAGCAGAGTTTACATGGGAAAAAAATCATCTAAAAATCAGAATGGATCCAGACTGAATCTCATCAGTAATACTCACTACATAATTATCATCTTTAATGATGGAGACAAGGGTGCCGAGCAATGCGCTCTCCAGAATAAATGCCCTCGTCTGTAGTGCTTGTTTAAATTACGTGGTAGCAGTACTCTCATGTGACTTATTTGAAGCTATAATATACCATGGAAGCTGGGGTTGCAAGGGTTAATTAACAAGAGTCTCTCAAGAACATAGCCAGCCATTAATATCCACACTCGGTGCTCAGCCGCACTAGTTGTGTAAACGTAACAAGGAAAGCAGGTTTCTTACTCGGACTGCGCACCTGATGGCATTCAAGTATTTCTCTTCCATATCAGTGACAGGGGTCCCTTGCCTCCTGGGTGCATACACAGATCCAGGGATGGCCTCCTGTTTTCGGAAGCTGTCGAGAAGACAGCTTGGCAGATTCTGAGATGCCACAGGGAGTTAGGGGTCATCGGAAGTAAGATGTAGACATCTATTACTTTTCTTCAAGGACTAAGACAGAATAAGCAAGAAATAGTGTCCCAATGCAACAAACCATAATAAGTAGGTTGCACAAATGGTAGAGCTGTATTGGAGGAGGTGCCAGGCTGGTGCTTTTTTGTTTTTTGTTTTTCGTTTTTCCTCCACAATGTATTATAGCTTTAGTTCACTCTGAACAAAGGTAGAAATAGACAGCTGGAAAGCTTTGATTTTGCTCTTTCATTTTTCAGTAAAGCATGAGAGCCCCAGAAGTGGGTACAAACGTGCAGGACTTGCTGTGGCACCCGAGAGGGCCAGCTGTGGAGAAGCTGGGGAATCATGACTGGTGGCTTCTAAGCCGGAGGTGCACATTGGTCACCCTGGCTATTCAGGAGGCTGAGATCGGACAACGGTGGCTTAAAGCCATCCTGGGAAGGCAAGTCTGAGAAACTCTTCCCTCTAGTGAATCAGCAAAAGGCCACCAGTGGAGATGTGACTTAATGATAGAGTGCCAGCCTTGAGTCAAGAAGCCAAGAGCACTCAAGGCCCCAAGTTTAAGCCCCGGTGCCAGACACAAAAATACAGCTGGCTCTGTTCATCGGAGCCGTGGTGAATCAGGAGCGTGGAGCTCAAGGCAGTGCCTTTTGTTAATGCGTAGAGATAAGGACCCCAGGGAAGATGACCCCGAGACACCAGGCCCATCGAGTCATGTCAGCAAACCATTTCTGGGGGCAGCATTCAACCGCGTTGCAAAGCTCACGGACACTAAATGACCAGAGCAGGGTGGCCGGTGGTAAGATGGTGCCTTAGTCTGGAAGTTGTATCCTTCGTATGATGTTTCTCGTGGGACAGACCCCTTAATTCGAAAGGGAGGATTTTGTCATTTACACGAGAGCACAAGTGAAGGAAGCCCGCGGGGAAGGGAGAGCCTCCTCTCCTTGCGTGTGTCTGCATGCGTGCAGGGGATGTCTCTGCTGCGGAAGGAAGGGTTAACGCTGAGAACGGACTGGTTACCTCCTGATTTCTTGCACATAAAGCCACAAGAAGTTCAGAGAGAGACTGCTTTCCCTCATAATGAAGCTCTCTGCTGCTAATGGCCCATGCAGACTCCCTCGGCTCCTCCAAATTAGAAATACTTTTGTGCTCCTTTGCTTCATTAACAGTAAAGAGAGGGAGATTGGTGGCTATTTAGGGCACAGGGAAATTGGTGGCTATTTAGGGCAAGTGAAGATTGTAGTAATTATGCTGGGTAAGTTCTCTTCCTGGTGCTCTTTGATTTTTTTTTTTTTATTTTCTTTTGGTGCTTTGTGGAAGAGCCTACCACCGTCGGTGCTGGTGTTTGGCCCAAGGGGCAGGAGCAGAACCGACTCTGAATGTTTGGTCCCTGGGAATGGTCAGTGCAAGACGCATTACCTGCTGGGTGATGAGTCTGTTGCATTTTTTTTTTTTAGCATGCTCCCTTTCTATCACCAGCTGTGATACGTTTAGTACCTCCCTCCCGACCTGTACTACCTAGAGCTGGCATGCACATCACAGCGTAGGAACTGCATCCTGAGAGTCAAACTCAGTTGGGATAGACAGAGGAGCTGCGTGAGTGGGCCAGGCCGGAGGAGGATGTGGGGGGGATTAATTCAGGTTTACACTGTGCTGTGTGTGATGGGCCTCTCATGGAGGGTGGGCATCATGACATTGGCTGCTAACTGGAAAGACAGCATCCCGAGAAGGTACAAAGTAGAACTTGTTGGGTGCTAGCATATAGCACTTTGATGGCATTTGCAGAGGGAGATGTATCGAAAGGGTCTTCAGAAACTTGGGAAATGGTGCAAAAAATGCTCCTTTCAAACGCTGAAAGTACCACGCAGACAGAGTCGCTGCTCCATCACCTGAAAGCTTGCGGTCACATTTTTAAGTGACCGGACATGGTGGATTAAGCTCCAGACACTGTCGGGGGCAGTAAGGGATAACGAATGTAGCAACCTGAAATCCCTTCTTCAGTGAGCTGTGGTGGACCTCACTGGGTCTGGCGATGGTTACATGTGGTGGAGGATGTCTTCAAGTTTCCTCGTAGTGAGCTTTTCATGGAGTAAGCGTCGCTCTTTCTGATATTTAAAGTCCAAATCTTCAATAAGTCACATTTGTATTCTGTAAACATGAGGGCTTCTGTCACCCAAACCATTGTAGTTAAAAAGAAATGGAAGATTTTAACTTTAGAAAAAGAGTTGTTCTTCTGTGAGCTTATTAATTGTACAAAATAAGGAGTTTTGTTATGACATTTTGATTCGTTACATAATGTACTTTTATTCTTCTCCTTCCTGACTCTCGCTGGTTCTACTCTTCTTCCCAAGTAGGACTCCTCCTACGTTCACATCTGCTTTAGAAACTTGTATCTCAGTTATCTTGTCTCTGTTTTAAAAGAGATGAACCAAAAGCGTAGGGTTAGTAATTTCTCCAAGTTTGTAAATGGTGGTGTGTGCAGATATATATTGCCTATTACATCCACTGACCCCAGCCACTCAAACCAGTTTTTTTTTTCTTTTTGTGAACCAACGTCTGCTATGCCATTCAGGCTAGACTCAAGCTGGACCGACGGTGTGGCCCTAGATGCTCGGAAACCCAGTGGTGCTCTAACCTCAGCCTCCTAATTGCCCTAGCATTTAACACTTCAGAATCTTCCTTCTTTAGCTGGGCATAGTGATAAACCTCTGTAGTTCCAGCTACTCAGGAGACTGAGGCTGAATTGTGGCTTGCCCAGGAATTGGAGGCCCTCTGAATACCTAGTTGAGAACCCCTATATGAATAATAGTTTCCTTCCCATAATATGCCAGTGCATTATTAATTGGCTTTGGATATGTTCATTCCCCTCTTTGCTAGGGAAAAACCAACATCTTCCTTTATCTTCCTTCCCTCTGCTCTGAGAACTCATTATCTACCTACAGTAAAAGGCCGCAGATCAGAGTCTAATGAACATTAGAGGAGGACAGGGTCATCATATGTATTGATTTAAACGGAGAGAAAAGATTTTTAGTCTTTTTGCTCACATTTAACCTTGTAGCATGTGACTCCAGCTGTTTTATGTTTTAATGAAGTCTTAAAATAATTTTCCCGGATGGGCTATCTGGACTAATTTGGCAAGTAAGTGTCTCGTTTTATCTTCGGACATTTACCTCTCTTTTGCTGTACTCTGGCACCTTGGGGAGGCGCAGGTCTACGTGTGTCTGTCCTGTCTGAATTAGGGAAAGGGAGCTGTGCTTTGTGCAGCTGGCACCGGTGCGGCCGCCGCCAGTGCCCCATCCTTGTGCCAGGACCGTGTGCCACAGGGAGCTTGCCTCGAAGAAAGAGAAGCGTCTCCTGCTGACAGAACACACCTGCGTTTTCCCAAATAGCAAAGCCAAGAACCCCACAGGGCTCTCAGGGAGGAGCCAGCTCACCTCTTCTTTCTGCACCATTCATGCCGCGAAGGTGGAACACAGCACCCCGGGTTCTAAGCCTGTCCAGTCCCCTGGGGACCTCTTGGGGGTAGGGGGAGACTCCCACGGAAACACCCAATCACCATATGTGTTTTCTGTCATCAGTAAACTTGGTATACGCAAAATTCTGGCCCTGGGCACTTCTTTGTTAAGTGAATGTCATACACTCGGGGCCCCAGGGAATTCATTCAGGTGGAGTGTGTTAGTAGTCTCGGATCTGCATGTGACTTGGGAGTGTTCCCCAGCCCCAGGGGGTGAGCGTGGGTCACCCAGGCAGCCTCTCCCACCCCGCTGGACTGTTTGAGCCCCTCCAATGTTCTGTCTCCATGCATGCTGAACCAAGGGCCTGGACATGCAGAGAGCAAAGGAAGGTGGCTGTGATGTCTGGAAGACGGAGCGTTAGCTCCTCAATGGGCAAATAACTTTGGAATTTTTTTTTTAAACCTCTAGAGCCAATGCTCCTGATGTCTCCTATGATCTGACCTTGATGGACAGCAGAAACAAAACGACCACGGTCAGCTACGTGCACGACACACTGTCCAACCACCATGGCTGGGTGGCTCTGCTCCTGGATCAAGAGACCTACTCTCTGCAGTTCCAGCGTCCGCTGAGGGACAGATCTTTGCAGGTAACCCACAGATACCTTCACTGGTATCTTCCTGTCCTCCTGAGAAGTCATGAATTGCAAATATTTACGCTGATAAGGAGGAACTGCGGTAGCCTATATATATATATATTTTTTTTTGCTAGATGAATTATAACCTGGCTATGAGTGCTGGTTTGTTAACATGAAAATTTTAGAACTTGCTTAAATCTCATCCTGAATGCAGAATAGTTCTGCTTGAAAATTTAAATTTATTAATTCATTGAAAAACTGCCTCCAACCATTCTCTAGAATTATATTACCAAAAAAAAAAAAAAAATTACAGGCTAAAAGACAACTTGCCCCGTTTTGTGTTTGCCAGCCGAGAAAATGTCTTCACGGGGCAGGTAGCCATTCCGCACCGCCACCTTGTGGTCAGAGGTGAACTTGCAGCTCTGTGAACGATGCCCCAGGCAGTCCCATGAGCCCGATGCCCTGGGGACAGTTCTGGGGACAGGAGAGCAGAAAAGGGGAAGTGGGGAGAGAAGAGAAGGAAAACAAAGGAGAAAGGAAGAGGGAAAAGGGCAGGGAAGCAAAGGGGTGTGAACCCGTGGCTCTTCCTTTCCGCACAGCTCTCTCTCCGCAGAGTCTGAGGGCAGAACCTTCCGGAGAGGGAGAGGGAGGCTGCCCCCGTCCGCCTGTGAGGAGGTCACACGGACTCTGCCCCCCGCCCCAGCCCCCCAAAGGACGTGCACCTCTCTTTTCTCTCCTGGAGGTTCACTTTCCCTGGGACAAGGCGGGGGGGGGGGGGGCAGGTGTGACTTCGATGGTGACGTGGACCCTGTGTTTGTGCCCTGGCTCCACCCTCTGCTGCTGTGCAGTGTGTGGCCCTGTTCCCAAACCTGCCTCAGTTTCCCCAGCTGTGAGATGGACCCCTAAGAGCAGCCACCGCAGGGTCCTGGGGCGCGTGATGCTCTGTGCCCGGCCCCGTGGGTTCTGACTGCCGCGCGTGCGTGCTATCTGCGTGGAGGGGTCCTGCAGGCGGCGGCGCCCCTGCCCCTCTGCCCCCCGGTTACCGAGGGAGCGCCACGGACTCGTGTTCGTCTCTCCTTTGCCTCTCTTGCTCTTCCCCTCACCCGTTTCCAGTACTCAGCCACTTTCGACAACTTCGCCCCGGGCCGTTACCTCCTGCTGGAGCACCGGGACGCGCCCCCGCACCCCGACATCCTCCTGACCTGCTCGGGCCGCCTGGGCCACTCTCTCCCATCTCTTCCGTCACCTGGTCGGGACCAGCACTGCGATTGGTTCTTCAACGCCCAGCAGAGGCGGCTCACCTACCTGAGTGAGTGTGGGGCGGAGGGGGGCTGGGGGCCGGTAGGCAGGCGCCCCTCCGGACTCCTGAGTTCCAGCTGCTTGTAGAGAACCGAGGGCGTCTGGACTCTGAACTCGGACTGCCCAGGTTCAGATCCCAGCTCCAGGACTTACGAGGCCAGGGCAGTTAACCAGGACTCTTTCTAAGTTTTGTCTCTGTCGGCTCTCACTTGGGGTAAAGCACGCAAGGCGGGTGCTCTACTGTCTGAGCCAGGTCCTCAGCTCAAAGACAAAGTGATCTCAGATGGTCCTAGTGTCGCCGCCTCTGAACAAGACTCGGAAAAGGAGCAGAAGCCCCAGAGGGCTGAGGGAGCGTTGAATGAGCCTGGGCGTCCCTGCTCCTCGAGGGAGCAGCTCCTCCCGTCACAGCTTGCAGTGCTCCCCGGCTGGTCCTCACGGTGCCCGGGCTGACCGGTGTCTGCAGCTGGCTCTGCTCCCGCTCCAGGCTGGGCCTGCGCCGGAGGGGCCTGCGGGGGCAGCGGGGCTGTGCCGCCCTTCCACACACAGCCACGCGTGGCTTCCGTGAGGCTGTGCACCGCTGTGGGGAGGTGTTTAGACTCCAGGAGGAGGGCGTGCACGTGCTGTGTGCACGTGCTGTGTGCACGTGCTGTGCTGTGCTGCCTGGGAGGTTGTCTCGCGCCGTGTGTGTCTGTGTTCCTGCTACCCCACCCAGCTCTGGGGCGCAGCGGCCCCCTCCCCCTCTGCGCCCCCCCCCCCCCCCCAGCCATGCGGCCTTCCTGTCAGTATTTGTTCAGCCTCTGCGACCTCATGGGCCTGGCGCAGGTAACTTCCATAAAACACCCCTCGTCCAGGAGGAGCGCTTCACTGTCCGTGCCGTGTGCACAGCCAGGGAGTGCGCCTGTGGCTAGCGCTGTGTGTGCACAGGTTTCTGGTTATTGTGGGCCCTCTCCAGGTGTACCTAGCTTCACGTGACACTTCCTCCAAGAAAGGAAACGCATTAGGAAGAAAACCCACACAGCAAGCCGCATTTCCTTTGGGCTTAAGGTATGGTGGACAGGAGAGAGCCAGCGGAGAACGGAGCAGATGAGGACCTAGGCATTCCGGCGTGTGCTGGGCCTCCCCCACTGGGGTGTGCTGTCCACTAAATAATCGCTCCTCACTGACCCCGAGGCTGCGGGCAGGGCACTGGCCAGCCTGGGGAAGAAGACTGCTCACCGGTCCCAGTAACAAAGGGGGAAATACCACACACACACACACACACATACACACACACACACACACACATACACGTACGTCACATGCATGCACGTGCACACACACGTGTGCGTGAGTGGAGCCTTGCATTTATTTTTCCCACCAAGGCAAATTTTGTCTTTGCATCCCACGTCTCTGTGGGGTGCAAGGTTTTGTAGGCAGCTGCTGGCCAGGGGTTGGGGCTGCGGTTTGACCCAGTGGCTGGCTGGCTGTTTTACCTGGGGCATAATATCACAGTTCTCCCACGCTTCACTCGCTTCATTGGTACGAGTTCAAGAATATTTGCTTGTCTTTTGAAATTGCAATATAAAAATATTCAAATGCCAGACGCTGGTGGCTCACGCCTGTCATCCTAGCTACTCAGGAGGCTAAGATCTGAAGATCACTGTTCAAAACCAGCCCTGGCAGCAAAGTCCATGAGACTCTTCTTCTTCTTCTTCTTTTTTTTTTTTTGGGTCCGGTTGTGGGGCCTGAACTCTGGGCCTGGGCGCTGTCCCTCAGCTCTTCAGCTCAAGGCTAGTGCTCTACCACTTGAGCCACAGCGCCACTTCGGCTTTTTTCTTTTTTGTTTATGTGGTGCTGAGGAATCGAACCCAGAGCCTCATGCATACAAGGCAAGCGCTCTACCACTGAGCCACCTTTCCAGCCCCCCATGAGACTCTTATCTCCAATAAACTACCGGAAAACAGGAAGTGGTACTGTTGCTCAAGTGGTAGAGCACTAGCCTTGAGCTGAAGGGCTCAGTGACAGCGCTCAGGCCCAGAGTTCAAGCCCCATGACTGACAAAAAGCAAAAACAAAAACATTCAAACATGCTCAAGTTTCCTTAGCATGCCATTTCAGCGTGTGTGTGTGTGTGTGTGTGTGTGTGTGTGTATCTATATTATCTATCTATCTGTCTGTCTGTCTATCTATCTATCTATCTATCTATCTATCTATCTATCTATCTATCTATCTATCTATCTATCTATCTGTCTGTCTTCTCAACAGACACCTTCTCTAGATGACACTGGCGTGGACGGCGTTAGGACCAGGTCAGCGATCGCTGCCCTCATCCCAGCTTCCCTTGTGAGGAGGGGGTGGGGGTTGGCTTTCCACAGCCTTGGAAGATGCCACTCTAGGAAGCTCTTCCACAGGGGCCGCAAGAAGCACTCTTGTGTGCTGGGACCGGTGCCCGGGCCGTGCAGCCATCACTGCCGTGACTGGTAGGCTGCGAGCCTCGGCCGTCCCAGAGCCCGCTTCGGTGCCATGCCAGGGCGCGTCCGGCCGGGGCCGGTGTTCCTTCGGAGCCCAGACTCCAGCAGGCCGGTGCGCTCCGCTCCCGCACTTCCACTTCCTGACGGCCAGCGCCGTCCCCGCGCTGCTTTTCCAGGGATGTTTCCGTGCATGGCGAACTATTTTTATTTTTTAGTTACATGAGTGCTATGAAATAATTAGTCAGCTAATTAATCTGGTTTACAAGCTTTGTCGGATTCTTCAGCTGTCACTCAGGCCCAGGCCCCAGGCCTGCGTGCAGCCCGGCTCCCAGTCCATGTGACTCCCGTTGCCAGGACGACCGGCTACATCTGCTGACACCCCACTCTCTATTTATTGCTTAATTAAGAATTTCACGCTCAGCCCTTATCTGGCTCTAGGAACAAGCACACACTGTTCAGAAATTCCAAATTGAGGCCCGGACACAAGGCGGGCCTTTCTTGCGGGCTGGGCCATGTGGAGCCTCGGTGGCAGCCCAGCCGCCACCCTTCCATCACAAACCATTAAGTGGGGCAGAGATAATGAGCATGTAGCATATCAAAGGAGGGATGCTGGCCCGCTTCAAAGGGAGATGAGACCCCCTTGTCAGCCGAGGCCCCAGAAAGCCCCATTTGTTCTGGGCTTGACTCTGCAGAAGGTCCGGTGTGTGGGATGATGGCTCAGGCAGATGCCCCCCCCCCCACCCCTCCTAGCCTTCTGCGGCCCGGCCTCGCTCGCTCGAGTGTCAGCACTTGGACAGCTGCACCCCCACCCGCCCAGCAGCAGGCAGAGCATGTAATCGTTGAGTTCTCCCTCACAATGGCCACTTGTAGGGGTGGCCGGGAGGAGGGCTCCGCCACAATGGAAGCTGGGCGATTGCAGCTGCTCGGGAGGGCTCCGCTCCATCCTGTGGAGAGAATAGGCCGTGTCCAGACCAGGAGGTGAAGGTTGGGAGGGGAGGGACGCCGGGGAGGGGCCCGGAGGGGTGCGGAAAACCATCTTGAGTTGATTATTCATATTCTGACTCTTGGAAGCCCTGAGTGGAGCCAGTGGGGTTCCGGCAGCTGCCTTCTTCTCGGTCATTGTGCGTTCTGTCAGGGGTCAGCTTACTTTTGACCCTGTCCTTTCATACCGGTAAAAGGCTCTTTGGGGCAGGCAGTTGGGTGGTGGCAGGATGCTTTGAGTCCTCAGAGGTCTTTCTCTGCTCCGGCCCGCACCCGGCCAGCCGAGGTGATAGATTCCTATCAGATGCCACGCCATTCACCCTCCCGCTCCCCGGTTCACACGCACAGCGGAGATGGGGGACGGGCAGGGCGGGGACATTGTGCAAGGCGACAGCTGAGGAGACCCACCTGCCACGTGCGGGCGCCCGCTGCTGACCCAGCCTCCGCACGTCTGGCCGGAAAAACACACGTCTCGGCAGACTGGCCAACATGTGTGTTCACAGGTGTTCCTCACCTAGATAAAGGCCGGACGGCGGGAGCTGCGTGGTGCTCGGTCGGCTGGATGAAGCTCACCCTGTGCCCAGAGTTGCTCTGAAGAACTGCCGTTCCGGTGCGCGGATGGACCAGGAAAGATGCTGGGAATCGGGGAAGATCCCGAGAACTGGGGAGCTTCCCTGGCGCGAGGCTAAGCCTGGGGTCATGGCGGCCGCCTGGGTTTTCTAGTCTCAGAGCAGGGATGACGCTGACTGCTGTGGAGGTCCTTCAGCGGGTCTAGAAGATTCCTGCAGGTCCTCCAGAAGGAGCCCTCGTGGCCCCTGTTGGGAGCTGAGGAAGAGGCCCCAGGGCCCCTGGCGGGACTTTGCAGGCAGAGTAGAGTCATAATCCTTTGCATTTTGGAAGCCGTTTTCATCAGAGGCCTGGAAGGCCCTCTATAGCATTCTAGTTAATAAATTAATTTACATTCTTACAGAAAACCCATTCCTCCCAGCTCCCCAAGGACTTTTTACTAGTAATGCGGGGGACAGACGTAAGGGAATGGAGGAACGTGTACAGGGCAAAGGTAGATAATGAAGAGGAGCTGGGGGGTGAAAGGGATTTTACCTCTTTTAGAAGCAACCTCTCCAAAAGAAAAAGGAAGCGAAGAAAGGGAAGGGAGGGGGAAAATGGAAGGGAAGGGAGGAGAAAGGAAGAGAAGGGAAGGGAAGGGAAGGGAAAGCCGGAAGTCAAAATTCAATGGTGTTTGCAGAAATCACTCTGATGATTTTTTGTTTTGTATGTATGCATGCATGCATGTTTTTCTGTCTGGATGCATGCACGTATGCATGTGTGTATGTGCTGGTAATGGGATTTGAATTCAGGGCAGAGGCTCTGTCTCAGTTGTTTTTGCTCAAGGATGACATTCTACAACTTGAGCCATAGCTCTGCTTCCAGCTTTTTGGTGATTAATTAGAGATAAAGGTTCCACAGAGTTTCTGCCCAGGCTGCCTTGAAACTTCGATTCTCAGAACTCAGCCTCCTGGGAAGCTAGGATTACAGGTGTGAGTTAAGCTAAATATTACAGCAATTCTAAGTGGCTAGCA